AATTGCTTCACACTTTCAGACAACTGTGAACAAACCGATTTATGCATTGTACCTTACAGTTTCCTAACAAGCATCAGACTAGAATGTTACAACCGTGCACAGTACTGGCAACCTGTGGGATAAACGTTCGTTGGCGAACACTCTTGAGCTTTCAAATTCAGTCATTGGATTACAGATTCAGAGGTAACACTGGAAGTAGGCAAAAGTTTTCATTCTGTGCTACATATGGCAACGCAGAGACGGTGTCTTGGAAACTTGTGCTACCATTTGTACGAAATGTAAAGCTTCTTCTTGGCAGAGTCTTGAAGAAGCTCCGGGCAGGACCAGGGTAAGGACTGCATGAACACAGGTTCCTGTTAGTATACGGTACAGCAAAAAATAACACACTTTTTTCATTCGGTAAAATGTTTTAATTATATCATGTTAAAAGTGAACCATGAAATTGCACAATACGAGTCATTCATATCTACACAGTGATTCCAACAAAAATGGCCAACTTTGCTAGTAGTGACATCTATCATTGCCGACCCATAACAACACTTGCTTCTGAACAAACTGCAAGGGATTGCCAGTCTAGTGGCCAGCGAAGACACAGACAGTGTTGTGTGCTAGTGGTGAAAGCTAACTTTACAAACGTCCTCTCAAACGAAGGGTGTTCAAACTGTGGGCCGCCAGAAACGGCAGTTTTGTTACCTCACTTCACTGCTTCCTTAACTGAGCGTTATACGAGTACCTACACTGGCAGTTACAGTATCAATTATAATCAAGCAATGATCTAAGTCTAATTTAAAACTGCAGACGAGGGTAACACACATTGTTTAGTATCATTTTGGAGCATCTGTACCTAGGGGCACAACACAGTAGATTTTAGTGTCCATTACGAGACGGAAACAGAACAGATTTCCGAAAACCCGTGGCTTTAATCAAGTTGGACGTAAGACAAGGCCAAAGCAGTAGCTTCAAACAGTGGCTATTTGTTCTAAAAGCTTCCAAAGTAGCCAACTCTGTTATCGCCCGGGCCAAGTACTAACATGACGTGGTTCTGTAAAAAGAAATTGTTTATCCCGCCCGCAATATGACACTGAAGACCTCCGTCTTAACTGGTAATGTCGGTCGACAGGCCGGCACCTGTCCCCTCCTATTCGCGTGATACCACACAACCGGCAGACTCGTCCTTTCGTCAGACATAAAGGCGGGTAGAGGGCGGCCGGCGCGTAAGGCTGACCTCACAGCCATCTGTGAGCCAATTGTCTAGAAAAATGTGGGAGCCTCAACGTCTCACAACTCTATGGGCCTGTCACAGGGATAGCTTTACCGTTTTTTGCCCTGAAATTCACATGTCGGCCGGAGGTCACCACACACGTTCCTGTGCTATGACACAGTGACCAGGGCGCAGTCGCAATGGGGTAGACGGTCCGTCCTGTGAATCAAATCAGCCAGCCGCAGACACCGGGTCTCTGTCCGGCTGATGTAAGGCTCAGTGCAGAGCAACAACACAGGTTTCGTGCTGAGCAGGGTAGTTACGCGCGAATTCAGAAGCAAGATGTGCCACACCGGGTCTCTGTCCGGCTGATGTAATGGTCAGTGCAGAGCAGGGTAGTTACGCGCGAATTCAGAAGCAAGATGTGCCACACTGGGTCTCTGTCCGGCTGATGTAATGGTCAGTGCAGAGCAGGGTAGTTACGCGCGAATTCAGAAGCAAGATGTGCCACACTGGGTCTCTGTCCGGCTGATGTAAGGGTCAGTGCAGAGCAGGGTAGTTACGCGCGAATTCAGAAGCAAGATGTGCCACACTGGGTCTCTGTCCGGCTGATGTAAGGGTCAGTGCAGAGCAGGGTAGTTACGCGCGAATTCAGAAGCAAGATGTGCCACACTGGGTCTCTGTCCGGCTGATGTAAGGGTCAGTGCAGAGCAGGGTAGTTACGCGCGAATTCAGAAGATGTGCCAACAAATTTACAGACGGTTTTCGGCGAAAGGCCAATCGGAATATTGCTGCGACCTCGCGTTCCTCACACCAAATATGAGCTTGAAACTTGAAATATCCAGCCATTTTCCGGACTTTACAAATCGAAATCCCGTTGCAGTAGCGAAACGCACGGCTCTGTAACAAAACTTGTTGTCTTGGTATGAAATATGCTTGGATGTTGAACAATAAACAGCTTAATGTATTACATCAGCGAAGTGGCTTAACTGTGAAGCGTTTTCTCGAGCGTGTACGGACTTCGGGCTGGCCTGCCCGATAACCTGTGCCTTTCTTATGCGAGATAATTCGCTGCTCTGCGCCTGGGGGTCCCGCTCTATTAACGGGAGGTAACAAGACCCGAACCGCCTTGTGTACCTGCCTCCCGTATGGGGCAGAGGGAGGAGATTACAATGTGTAGGAATTCGAATACAACCCACACGTGAAGAAACGAAGGCGATGCAAGGGGAGCTGTAGGTTAACTAATTTATGGTGATAATTTAGAAGTGTCGAAAGAAAATCATTAAAAATATTTTCTACAAAGAAATCACTGTAGATAGATGCCAATAGAAACAGGCAGCCCTCAACTACACGTGAGCCGGATTTCATAACGTTTATTTCTCATGGTTGCTTGGAGAAATGCATCTCAATTTGATAAAACTTCTCGTCAACTAGATGGGGCTTACAACTGGCCCCCAAACATGGCAATGTGCTGGACATGCGACGTGGAGCAAGTTATTTTTGGGTCAGGCTCTGTATTCTTTCAGACTGTTTGTGCATCCCTTAACAAATCTATCGCCATTTGAAATGGAACAAAACTATTTGAGCCAGGCTTCGAGCTAGGGTTGTAAGAAGACACTGACATAAGGCTTGTAAACAAAAGTAACCTTCACGATTTGTGGTTATGGCAGCGATGGTTCTGACGCGTTCTACCTTCTAGGACATGGCGTCTAGTCCGTTGAAAATCAACCAACGTTTCGGAGGAACATGTCGCCTACATCTCCAGAGTCGAAGAATAAATCAAGCAAGAAACCAGCAGGAAGCAGGTAACAAGCTTCTGCAACCCTGAAGATGGTGGAGACATATTCCTCCGAAACGTCGGAACGGACTATGTAGCGTTATATCCCAGAAGGAAGAACGCTTCATATTCACATACTAAACCTATTATTTTAATGACCAGAGGTCATTGGTTGACTGCATATGCGCTATAAATTAACTGAGAAACCCTAGGTTTGTTACATCATTCGCAATGTATAACTGAAAATTATGTGATAAGCTCGCTAATTTGTTTTATAATTAAAGAAGTCTCTGATGAGCAGAGAAATAGTAATAATTTCGTATTATGTGCATAATTAAGTACAGTAATTAAATGAAATTACGTAATTATGCAAGAATATAAATTATGGACGCAGTGAGCAGCAGCAGAGTTTGAATTTGAGGTTAATTAAAAAAGCAGTACATCCTGAAATGGACGCCGTGCAGTTGGGCAGAAGTTTACCGACGTTTTGAAGAAACGCAATTGTCGCGATTTTTGTGGGCCAGAGTATGTCAAGCAAGCTGGTTGCTTCTTCGATCCTAATGGTGGAGAATTACGCTCTTCCGAAACGTCGGTGAACAAACAAATTACCTAACGTCACATCCCACAAAGCAGCTTCTTTTAACGTCTAACAATTGTAGCTGTTAATCTTAATTCTTGTAGGCTGTTCCTGAAGCCCATAAGGAAATAGACGTGAGTTCTTATGAAGGGTTGCTTCAATTCTTAATCCCCAAGTTCCGTATGGGGGCAGGGGGGTTACAAAGAGAAAGTATGCTCGTTCCTGAAAATGTACGCGCAGTTCTCATGGCTCGGGGCTTTTCGCGTTATTATCGGAGTGTCTCCAGTAAAAGCACCAGAAGCAGCTGACGAGCTGCCAACGTCACAGCAACCCGAGTCCTTTCAAAAGCCATCGATTAGTTCAAACTTGACAATATGAACAAAGAGGCGGACGTATGAGAAAAAGCGTTGTACAGTTTAAGAGATACACGTAATTAATCTCAAAATTGTGTGCAAACCTGAATTTATTTGGATACATCGGTTTAATTTCTTCCTCTTCGTTCAATTTTATAACCACCATGCACAGTCAACCAAACTAGTATACCAGGATAAAAAAAAAGCTTTCACGAAATACACTAAACNAAAGACAAAAAAAAAAAATGGAAAATATAATATATGTAGTGCCGATGAAAATAAATATATATATATATATCAAAACAAAGACCTTATTTAAAATATAAAAAAGACGAGAGAGAAGCTGATATCCAGTGTCTCCTTCATCCAGCCCAAGCCAATCTTGAATTTTTTTCTTGCGCGGTTTCAGTCACTCGAGCTGCCCTCAACAATCTGAAAGTCCTCTTACTCCTAAATTGCACGTGCCTCTTAAAGTATGTACTCAATTGTAAACGGTTCATCTTTCATATTTCGATCCGGATCATATGACATCCGAATTAACCGTAACCGGATTAGCTAGAGTTTACTGTATCGCTACGCCTAAATCTATGGCTTCAGTTTCGTGCTTTACAAAATGCATTCAATCTTGTGAACTGATAGTACTTCTTACATTGCAGGCCTGCTTAGCAGAGCATGTTCACTTTAATGTGACACGGGGCCAGTCCCGCACACAAACATTCAAGTCACAGAACTTGCAAAGAAATGAATAATTACTAAAATCATTTCGGAATATTTGTCGCGTATTGCTGTTTCAGGTTTCGTTGACCTGTGGGGCATTTCACTGCAAGTGGTCCCATTCAAACCGCAGGGTGGGGACGGTTGACTGCCGACCGGTAAGCGCGCGCGGTTCGTCAGCACGACCGCCAAGCTGTGTGCGTTATCCGCTACATTTGAAGCGTCCAGACTTCTCAACGTGAACAATATCATTAGACGACTCAAACGGAAGAAACCGTTCGAACTAGTTAAATGTTAAAGCACTAAGTAATTCAGTGGAAGTGACTTAGTTTCAATTTACGTAGTATATTAGATTTAGAAAAAAAAATAATCGTCAGTTATCCAACTAGTTTTAATTGTAATTAAGTTCTGGGTTACCCTGTCTTTAATTAATAAATTTAAAAAAAATCTGCTACAAGTTCCTGGTATTTCGGTGTCTTGCCCGTCTACAGAAATATAAAACAAGGAACCGACCGAAAATGTTAGCAGTTACTGTGGATTGTGTGTTCATGAAAGAAGATGCTTTAAAAACGTGTAAATAAAACTGGATGAGTAACAGGTTGCGTCCACAAGGGGGCGGAAGAGATGGTAAGCACAACGCACTTAACTTACTGCATATTCGTATTTATTTCATTTAATGCTGTTTTGAACAAACACTGTATTGTAAGGTTGTGCATATACATACTGTGTACTGATTCAAGCGCCCACAAAACCGCCGAAAGGGGGCGGTAAAGCAGCTACAACGAAACCAAAACTGTAATGAGTATGGAAACGTCTCATCTTCTATACGGGCTCACGTTAACACTGAGCTCAGCAACACAGAGGATTAAGCCAGCAATTAATTTTATATTTTCGACATGGAAATATTTTAATTTGCCGAAAACTCCATTTATGTGTAGAATTTCAATACTTTGACGACGCCCATTCTTAAGTATTTACGACTGCAACTGTTTTCTTTTATCTTCGACACATTCCACTATGGTCACGGGCTATTGTCGTACAGAGCTTCACAAATGGTAACTAACGTTTGTACAGCGGACTTCCAACACGGGATATACCACTTGCTTTATGAATTTTCGTATATACGAACTTCTTTAACGAAGTGCATACGCTCGGCTTATATTCAGAACGGGACAAAAACCAATATGAGCGAACGAAAACGAACGCAACGTAGCCCAGTCGGCTCGCCTTATGCTCTTCTCTGATGTGCGTGTTGTACAAGACTTCCAGACTTCCTCTTATTTGGAGGGGGGGGGTTGTAACATATTAGTGACGGATTAAACGATGTAAATTCGCCAACATTTTAATGGTATTTCCTTAAAACGTAACAGGATTTCATCATTGTCATTATGTTTTCGACGTTTGCGTGTTTTGATTTTAGGCACTGAAACAGGTGATCATTAATTTTTAGTCATTTTTGGTCGCTCAGGAACGTAACGAATGTGCCTATAAGAGAGAGATCTGTATTACGTAATTTCGCTTTACGAACTCTCTCCCCTCAACAACGTTAACCAGTGGTTATAGCGAGGACTGACAAGTACGGCGATATATGTGTAAGTAGTTCAATGTATGGTGCACACTAGTCAGGTGGCAATATGGCTCATAAATGTTGCACGTGGACATCACACCATACAGGATTTGTGCCATGAACAGATTAAAACTGTGAAGCTATTTCTTTGGTCACAAAGGACTTCATAAAGGACATTCGTCGGCAATTTCAAATAATCACTGAATATATATGCAGAGTTATGGGGCCGTTCTTCTTTGCAATTCACTTCCCAACGGACGTGGCCTCCCCAACCTCCGGACCTCACTGAAATCCGAAGGCAGTCCAGTTGCCACCAACACGGCTAGGATGGGCAACGCAGGTGACAAAGTTGCTAAAGGAAAAGTGGTTCCAAGTAACTGGAGAGAATTTCCTTGTTGTGTGTTCTTTTTTTCTAATTCACCCTTCCACATCGCGAATTTGAGTCTGCTAACAGTCATTACAAACACAAACGAACAAAGAAAAAAGTATTTACTATATAGATCATGTAAGTTACTAGCGATGGAACAGAAACTGAGGTCAGCTCATTGTAAAAACGTTTCCACTATGCAATGTCCCTTACAATGACACGAAGAGGCGTTAACATTCTCACTGGCTATAACCGTAGCCAGCAACCCACTGTCACAAGGAGTGATAGTCGTGGAGCAGCGCTGCGTCTCCATGGTGATGGTGATGAGAAAGAGAACTACTTGCTTGCTGCTCTGCCACTGGCCCGACGCCAGCTCTTGCGGTGGCCAAGCCGAGCTGCGATTGGTACGCCGCCGCAGCAGCCAGCGTCGCGTTAGACATCACAGTAGCTTGAAGACTGGCAACACTGGGTTTCAACTCGTTGCTGAACAGTTCTGTACCGTGATGAGGAACTGGGTCCTGAAACAGTTCGTAAGAAACCTTCAGCGCTCAATACCTAACTAGAAACACCACAGCTCATGCCGCAGCCGTGTTCCTGGCATACCCTATGCATGTTTATAGGAACTGCAATAATACATGTCGTGATCAGAACGATAACTGCTCTCAACAAACCATGAATACATCGGCTCGGCAATTTTCCTTTTCCTTCACGGTCATGCAAAGCAAACAGACACAGTAATAAGCAGAAAAGAATTTCACACATCTGAAGCCGAATTAGTAGTGTTAAGGTGAAGCTATCCCTGTAACAGGCCGCGGAGGCCATAGTTGTGAAACGTCGAGGCTCCCACATTTGATAGACAATCGACCCACAGGTGGAGGTGAGGTCAGCCTTACGCGCCGGCCGCCCTTTACCCTCAGATTCCTGGTACTCATTTGTTAGAGGTTGTGTCGACCCCAGGACCGTAGTGCGGCTCGAAGGATAATGTAAACTGAAAAATCGTCGGGAATCGAATCCGTGATCTTCGAACTTGGCAATAGTAATTTGTTCATAGTAAATATATCGTACTAAATGAAAGTTTGGTCAAGAAATATGAAGTGAAGTACATGTGAGAGAACTAAGCATAGACGGAAGGATATGCCTACAGCGGCTTATAACAAACTACAATGGACCCCGACTTTCACAAAACCGGGAGTTAATTTCTTGACCGGTCAAACGACTATCAGCGTATCAAGCAAGGCCCAGCACCAAGAAGCAACGTATTGATTGCACCACTGAACTGTCCATTTAATAGCCTTACGCCTCTCCGTGTCGCCGCTGGTGCGCCCCAGCGCGGGGTGGGGGGGATGAGGGGTCGGAGCCCATTATGAGGGCGGTTCCTTAAATGAAGTACTGCTCTCACAAGAACGAGGGAACTACACCCGCGTTCCTCTCCAGAGGTGTCATCAACTACAGCCACCGTATTAGAGCCGTTACTATGCAACGACCGCGAGATAATCAAATATACCAGGTCCGTTTCTATGCTGTGATGATTTGTGCATTGTAGAGAGATTAGAGGTGGCGCTGTAATTGGTTGTACTTGCGAGTCGTGTGTGTAAGTTGTCAGTGAATCCAACAGAAAACCCCTTCTAAAGTCACTCCATACTACGTGACTACGACGTCACCTCACATTCTTTACATGCGTATCAGTGCGTACTGTTTTGATTTATTCAACGAGCCTATATAAACTGCGCGTCTCTGCAATGTTGAGGCATTCGGCGAGTGTAACACGCAGACTGGAGATGGGGGGGAGGGCCTGAAGAAAACCACAAAACTTGGATATAAGGAATTTAAAAAGGAAGTCAGAGATGCGGCTTGTGAGGACTGGACTGAGATGGATCATTACCGAACATGAACTGAACTCTGTGGCCTGTAGTCCGCAAGCGAACTATACCGACCGCCGCTTGTCGGTGAAGTTAATGCCTACTGCGGATAGAGGATGTCACGTGGTCAGCTCAATGAATCCCCATGGCCGTTAATTTCGGTTTTCTATACCGGAAATTACAGAACATAATGGAAGTAACTTATTTCGACAGTGTTCAAGTTTACGATTCCATGATTCTAAGCTTATTGACGTCATTTAAACTATATTGGTTACGCAGCGTTAAGCTGAACGGCCGTGGCTTACTTCAGTGTATTGTGACAGCATTTTCCTTGCAGAGAGAATAAGATACCGTTCAACCTCGAAGTATAACTAATCTCTGGGCCCATATTTGAACCCGGGACCTTCCGAATACCAACAATTCAATGGCGAATGGAGCTCCACAAGATTTGTTGTTTCTAGAAATTCGATTTGGGTTTCTTGTTCTTCCCCCTTTCGATAATTTTACGGATATTTTGCTAATCTTATCTCCTGGAGATACGAGAATTTGCCATTAACACAAATTACACACTGCTTAGAACTCTTTCGGTGTGCACGGATGGTGATTACTCTTTCTAGTGGGCCCCTATATTTCGGAAACTGAAAATCTCAATATTTCTGATTTCGTGAATCTGAAACAACGAAACCTTTATCCATTTTTGTTGGGCTCCTTGGACGACAGATGACAGGCAGATTCATCGATGCCCCTACATACACAGGAAAATACAACGTATCGTCACGTATTTGGGATGTGTGACTAGACAGGGTACTGATTTGGAGACTGGATTTACTGACCACTTGTACACACACCACTCTGGAACTACACGTTAACTACAGCGATACCGCTAATCTCCACACTTTAAAAATCACCACAGCACCCGCTAAGCCTTTTCCAGCCGGCTGTGTCTTAACCAGCCGTTCCCTGGCAACGGCTATAACAGTGGAGATTCTTCAGCTTCCCGCTGTCAGGTTCTTCTTTGCCGACTCTCGTACAGAACTATATGGCAGCTATTCCATCAAGTGAACTGGATCTGTGTCTCTTACAGAACTAATTGCACACAGCCCTCAACTCTCTCTCTCTCTCTGTTATCTTCGACTGCCGATTCTCAACTGACTCAAGTTGGCTTGGGATCCTCGTTATATAGCCTCGGGGCGGGCCAAAGAGAAAAACACCCGTTTCCTTACAATGTCTCTGTTGTTGCCTGCGTATTTGTTGCCGCGGGAACGTGTTTACAAAGCCGTTGCCTAGCAATGAACGTCCAGTATGACTCTACTATTCCGGCTTTTCGACGTCATGTCACAATACAGACACGCGGATACAGATGCTTCAAATGGGATACTAAATATCTGAAGCAAAAACGTTTCAGTTTGGCTGTATGAACTTGTACGTACTTCGTAAAAACAGAAGCCTGTGCTGAGGATTGTGGGCAGGTTAGCACAGAGGCGCGTCCATTCTGGAGGTACTCTTGATCCAGGCACAGAACGGGAGGTTCCGAGGTATTTCGAGTATTTCCTCAGTATGACCTTCACTCCATATTCCTGAATACTGTCCAGTACACACGGGAGAGAAATATCAGAAGCCGCTATGAACCTGAGCTCGCGTCGTGTCGTGTCTTGAGGCAAGCAAACGCATGGCCGCCGTTTCGACGCTGTCTTCCGGTCAATGAGATCAAACCACTTGAATAAATTGTGGGAGACACCGCAAGAAAACCACGGAAGGGCAATAATTCTCGGATCGTGCTGGGTATGTTCATTTATAAGGAGAAAACATAAATAAAAGGAAATAAACAACGGAGGTTTCTGAGCCCGTAGTGATAACGTTGCTGGGCAAGCATAGACACAAACCAGGGCATAATCACACAATATTAAGGTAAAAAGGTAAGGCTGTTTCTGTGCTTAACTGATTAAGCACTACGCCATGAAGATGTATTGGGGAGCAGCTGTATAGATCCGCGCAATCTTGACTTCGGTACTAGTTTGAGGTGAGTGGTCAGCTTCACGCCCCTGGCCTCTTTACCCCCGATGCCAACTGGACAGGAGGCTGGTGGGCCCCAGAATCGGTGTGGACGACGTGAAGAGAAAATTCTTACATTGCCGGGGATCGAACTCTGCGACCCTTTCTGTCGTCCAGGCCGTAGCCAAGATATAAAAGTAATCCTAGGAAAATTCGAGTTTTCTGTAGCATGTAATGGATGCTATCCTGAGGAACTAAAAATTTTACGCTAAGATTGCCCTTTCGTTTAAATTGTTTACATCGTGGGGCTGATGAGACTTGAGTCCAGTCGGAGGCCCACTGTACCAGCCCCAAATGATAGGTAAGTCAGGTGCAGTGAGGAGACGTTTGCGGAATGAGAGGTGGAAGGGGCAACTGAAGCCACTCTGTCCGCCACATCTCACACGACGTGACCTGGCTGGGACTGACCCCAGGGCGCCTGCAATCACGTATCCTCATTATGTACGGTCGGATGAGTGATGGACGTTTTCTTGGAGCGTGTGAGGAAAACCACAAACCCTCAGAATCTCCAGTGTTCCGGCGAGATTCGAAGCGGTCGCCTTCAGAATACAGGTAAGAAAATTTCCCCATTTGTGACAGAAATATTCCTTTTCAAATACACCACAAAAAATGTAAACGCGGTGTTTCCCGCTAAAGTTTCACGTTTCTGTGAACATATATAATTTTTACCGTCAACGCAACAATACTTTATTATTTTGGCTAATTATATAGTACGCACTACATGTTTCGACCTCAAATGGGTCATGTTCAGGTGCTGCAAGTTTCACACATACTATTACCGAACTGCAACGCTAACATTACCTTTTATAACTGGTTCGTACAAGTTGGTTTCTATTCAGTTCACAATCAATTCAATGTTTCTTTCGCCATGTCTCCCTGGAGAAGTACACGTTAGTATATTCCCAGAAATAGATGTTTTCTATTAAGAATATCTCACACCTCGCGTCATCTTACTTACGTCTACGTACCTGGGCGAGCATGGCCTGTGTGGCGGGGTGCTCCAGTCCCGAGGGGGGCTTCTGGTCGCCATCCACGGACTCTGAGCTGGAGTCCATGGCGGAGCTGGGCCCTGCAGCCGTCCCTTTCTCATTGTCACCCGCAGAGGAACTCCGACCCGTGCTGCAAAGGGAAGTACAAGAGTCCTTAAGCAGGAGCACCACATTTTGACACCTCGACGTCCAACTTAACGCATTATCAACAAGTACTGGATAACAACGAAATAAAACATTCGATTTGCACATCGGTTCATTTAAGTGTTAACAAAAACGAAAACACGGAGATTCTGAAACGGCAAGTTACTACCCAGCACACAGGAGGGAACGTGAATGGGCGTCACCCACCTGAAACCTGGTTTTATAAGAAATATCAGACACTTAAAACTGTACAAAAATCCGAAAACATTTTAAAACATAGCCAAGTAACAATTAAAGATGATGCTATCAGTTGCTGATCCCGGGAGGGATTCCCAGTACACGGTTTTGTCCCAGAAACAAAGAGGTTTAAGAGACTCGTGAATGCAACCCAAAGCCAGTGATTTCAACTTCACCGTACAGTCTTGTGGCAGAACTCTGTGCGCATGTGAGAGTCAAGGAAACCAAACCAGTTACATTAACACTAATTCAGGGGCCATTCATAATTGCTAAAAAGGCTTCGTACAAGACAAAGAAGAACCGTGAAAAAACTATTATTATAAAATTCACTAAGCAATTTTTGAACAGGAACACTTTTCATGGATTTAATTTCACCATTCTCTTTGTGTATATTAGTGTTCAAATGCTGGAGCACTTGAAAGCGTTTTTCACAACAAACTGCTTTTTCACACCCTCAGCAATAAAGAATTCTGTTTTCTGTAGCTATCATCTCTCCTTGGAACTGCCGCTGATACAGCTGTAATTTAGTTTGCTGACTTACTTTCACTTTCGGCGTGACTACAGAAAGCAAACTTAACTNTTAACTACAGACTAGTCACCGCTAGTGTGAATGGCCCCCAGCTTCACATGAAGAAGCGTAACGAACCTCGTGGAGACTTCGGAAATAAATAAATGAAAGTCCATTGTCGGCTGAACAGCACTGCGTTGCTAGCAGCTTCATGTGAATACGCTTCTGACTAATCCCTTCGCAGCCACTCTGATGGTACGCGGATTCCTGAGTCAACTTGCTATTTCTATGACGAAATGTTCGAGTCAAGCATGCAGCATATCCTAACACGGAACAGAAAAATTGTATACACACGACAATTGAATATTTGAACATATCATCAAAATATATCTGTAATGATACACATTTTAAAAAGAACTTATTCAGCATAAATATAGATCTTCTAAAATATTATGCATGTCCACAAAACAGCGAAGTGTGCATTTATACGCACCATCAGATCAGGTCTAAAATTTAAGAAATAAATTCATACATATCCAAATTAACATACATTTTGGAAACAAGAAAAAATATGAATTTGCATTAAAATTCGGTCCCTACTCATCAGCAACGGATTATTTATCTGGAAGACTGGGCATGGGTGCTCAGCGAGGGATTCAGAGCCCGGTGTATTCCTGTCTCCAGTATAGCATCTCACCTTTACGAGGGAGAGTCAGTAAATAGGTCACAAATCGATACAAGACGTAAAACATGTGATATTCGAACCTGGAAAGAATATTTCTCGACATATTCTCCACCAGTACTGACCCATGGCTTTAGCAGTGCGTCGAAAGCCGCAGCATAGAAGTCTCCTGACTGTTGTCTCAGCCACTTTCGTACTCCTTTTCAACCTCTTCATCAGCACAAAGTTTGCCACCCAGTCATGGACCGCTTTACGCAACAAACACTTCCCACCGTATACATGAAACATTTCTTTATGATTATCCTTTGCATTGAGCACCTTTTCCCACAAAATAAAACGCATAACACAACGCTGCTTTTCGGTAGTACATCCCTCAAACACGGTCACCATTCTAACTACTCAAACCAGTCTCTAAACATGTGCATGCACGTCTGCTATGTAACTATCATGAAGCTGGATTGTGCTGCTACCTAGTGATAAATAAGTGAAGTAAAGGTATCCTTGCAGCAGGCCGTGGGGGGCCCATAGGGTTGTGAGATGTTGAGATTCCCACACTTTCTAGACAATCGGCTCATACACGCCGGCCGCCCTTTACCCCAAAGAACATTCCAAGAATATTCCTGGTACTCATTTCTGTTAAAGAGGCTGAGTCGACTCCAGGGCCATATTGCGGCTGGAAGGATTAGGTCAATTGAAAAAATCCAATGACCTCGTCGGGACTTGAACTCGCGAACTTCCGGCTTGTAGCACAGTGCCTCAACTAACTACGCTACCACGTGCCCCGCTACCTAGTGATACACATAGAGAACCTAGTACGTCCATTAGAGCTGCTTTACTTCCATTTGTAACCAACCTGTTCTGGGCCTCCCTGGTACGTGTATATACTTGGCTCCGAGCGAGGACCCCAAGTGGCATCCATCAGCCTCCTCATGAGAACAACATGAGCTCCTCCCCCGGAGTAACGCGGCCGGTGCATGAAGCTCATCGTCACTCTCACCTCCGCACAGTGAGGGGCCGAATGAACCACGCTCTAATTCACCCCTTTGGCCCAGGGAAAACTTAACAAACACAGAAACGTTCCCGAGGGAAGTTCGTAACACCTATGTATGTGAGGTTTCCTGGAGCTAATTGTCGTGTAGTCGCCGGGTGGTCCGCTACCGCCTCCATCTTCAGAGTAAAAAATTGTTCTGGTTCAGGGCAGGAGAGGCAGGAACAGAACTAAGGGCCCCCAATCCCAAACCTCTAAATGAAAACTAGCGTCTGGCTCACTCTTCTATCCCAAGAGGTAAAACGTTCCTCCGAAACGTCTGTTAGGATCTGACATCTACACAGCACCGCACACCAGAAAACAGTAGCCGCAGTTATGTAAATGATCACTGGTTGTTTTTTGCCACGTCAAGATAGATTTGAGAGTGCTATAAAGACCCGCGCCCCGTCAGATAAGGGTGCAATTATCATCCATCACATGGACTCAAGCGGGCTACTGGGGGAGGGGCGGCAATCAGGGACTTCATTGTTTAGTGTGGGATATTTGTGTTAGCGTGACCACGGACAGGCGATACCCTGCAGTCGCTAGACTCGCGCGTTTATGTGCTGAGATCCCCTGTGGTTTTCCTTTGTCTCTCGGGGATAATAACGGGATAGAGCCTTGAAGTAGGCCACGCCTGACAACACGAACTCTGTAGCCGAATGTCTCCAAACAGCCTTCTTCTGCCATTCACGATCTCCCTCGTAGTGATAATATGACTACTGAGTTCGGTACCCCTTTCGTTTGTGACAAGCTACACAAATTTGTGGCTGCTGTCATGGACCGTTCGGGTCAAACGGGTTAGAGCCAATGCCAAGCGCCTACGTCCGCATCAATTCGAAAACCGCTAAAGGACTGGGCCTGGGAAGGCTCAGTAATATTTATCAATACATTCAAATGTACGTAAAACTCNTGCCTCTGTCTTCTGGTAAAACCTATCACCGGAGATATGGACTAGCTTTACTAATTTACAGGGGGCACGCGGTAGCGTAGTGGTTGAGGCACTCTGCTACAAGCCGGAAAGTCGCGGGTTCAAGTCCTGATGAGGTCATTGGATTTTTTCAATTGACCTAAACCTTCCAGCCGCACTATGGCTTTGGGGTCGACTCAGCCTCTAACAGAAATGAGTACTAGGAATTAATTAAATAATTTTCCTGGGGAGTAAAGTGCGGCCGGCGCTTAAGGCTGACCTCACCACCATTTGTGAGCCCACTGTCTAGAACATGTGGGAGCCTCAATGTCTCTCAACCCTATGGGCCTTCACGGCCTGGTACAGGGATAGCTCTGCTCTACTTTACTTTACTTTACTAATTTATATAAATATTTCGATTTATTTAAACAGTGAAATTCTATGTAAAACCTTTTACGTAACAAGACAACTAGCAATGGATTCTTTGGGAAACGAAGTCAAGTAATGGACGTGGGCGCATTTTGTTGTTTATAAACGCCTGGTTATGGTCGTAAATTGTCGAAAGACGTAGCAAAAGAACATCTTAATACACTGTTTTTATCGATAAGTTTTGTCTAGGAATTATTTATTAAAGTATAAAATTGTTGTGATGGACGGAGATATTTACATAGCCGTTACCTCTTTGCTTCAGGAGCGGATTCTTGCCGTGTGAATCACATGAACTGTCGCGGTTACACGGTCATGACGCTCGTCCAAATGAAACACGCTCAGGTGCCAAATTAACGGCCGCGACGTCAGGAGATGTCGGCGTCCTGGCCGCCGCGGCCGTCAGTGAACCCGCTAGGTGCCTCCGTCTGGTACGCACGTACCCGACGCCTAGAGTGAACCTACTTCTCTCTTCCCTCAATGTGCGAGTCGTACTTTCCTCCGACAAATTTATAGCTATATACCAAAACTGTTAGCGGCCTCCGTAGTCTACAGGTAACGTTCCCACCTCATGACTCGTAGTACGCGGGTTCAAATACCCGGCGGAGGTCGTCGAATTTTTAAGGGCGGAAAAATTCAGGGAACAAGTCCTCCGGGAGGGACTTTAAGCTGTGTCCCGTTCGTAACTTTACGGCACGTAAAAGAACCTCATATCCCCAAAGGGGATCACTGAGCCAAATTCCAGGAAGTTTCCCGCCCAACAATAGTCTCTAAGGCCTCTGATAGATGGGGGAAGCATTATAGACACCGCTAAGCAAGTGGCCGAACTCGCTTGCTGATGGTACGTACCATTTATCGGTAGGGTATAGAGACTGGTAGAATATCATAGAGGGAAGCACAATAGATCAAACTGGTCGCGGTGCATGGGGAAACCCACCCTCTCTAAATAACTAACTAACTAGCAAAACTGTTTATGTACCACACAGTGCAACTTTCACTCCCGACACATGTTTCAGCCCTAAATGGCCATCTTCAGGTGTCCTTACTATGCTAAAACTGCTACACAGCACTAATACTGTCCATTCATCGCATATGCAGCTGCAGGCTTCATGATTCCAACTGTCACAATCACAGTCTAACTGGTACGCGCTGAAGACGACACCACCACACGCTGCTAGAGGGAACAACGCACACGCAAGGGGGAAAAATTACAGATTGCAGACGTAACACAACTACGGGCTAACGAATAGAAAAAAAAGGCTGCTGCAATAAAATATCTGAAGATAAGGATACACATTAAAATAAATGGACGACGCCCTTTGTGTGGGATAATAAGAATTTCACAAAATTTAAAGGAAATTTTAATAGATTTTATTTGATTTAAATGAAGTTAACTACACAGTGGTGCTGTCTTTACTGCGTACCAGTTAGACCATAACTGTGACGGTTTGAATCATGAAGCGTGCAGTTGCATATGGGATGAATGGACAATATTAGTGCAGTGTAGCAGTTTTAGCATAGTGAGACACATGAAGATGGCCATTTAGTGCCGAAAGATATTGTGTCGAAAGTGAAAACAAATAAAGGCTAAATTTGTTGCACTGATGACGTACTGTGTAGTAGATAAACATTTTCAGATATAGTAATGCAACAGCATGCTTAAATACAGGATTGCTATATGCCAATATACAGGGTGATTCACGAAGTTTTACCCCGGCTTATGGTACATATTCCTGGGGTTATTTCCTGCAAAATTTCCTTATAAACTT